ACAGCGCGCGAGGAGAACATCACCAAGTCCAGGCAGATATGTCTCCGATCCTGGTGGTAACTCAATGGTTGTCACAATGGCGGCAGTTCCACCTCATCTACTTCAGGACGGCACTGGAGACGTTTGACACGATAACTGCCATGTTTCGTCCACACAGAGGGTACGAAACTTTTCTCCGGCGGTTTTCTTGGGACGACAGCTCCGATCCCTCGTCAACTTGCGGGTTGGCGCGCGGCTCAGGCCACATTCTCTCCGGCACGGCCGTCCTCAGTCATATGTAGTAAACTTATTCCCAGTCCATCGGGGTTTCTTCTTCCGACTGATGCTGGACACATGGCAGGAGGATGATTTCTCTGTAGACGCTGGTCTGCCAGTCCATCGGCTCAGGATCAGGCGCAAAGGTGGAGAAAACGGCGGGCGTCGGCACGTACACAGCCGGGAAGGGGTTGATGTGAAACACAGGCGGGGTGACGGGCGTCGGCCGCGTCGGGCGGAACGGGTCTGGGTAGAAAGGAGTGTTAATCCTCGGATCTAGGCACTGTGAGATGTGCCTTCTAGGCTGGGTCTTGCTAGCCGGGCAACGCCTTTTTTTTGCCAAGGCCCCTTCCTGTATAAACGGTAATGATAACGACGCAAAGTCAGAGGGAAGAATTTGATTGTAACTACCTAAACCTAATATGTTCGACTACGAGTTGCGACCAACTACAGAACTGCAAGCCGATTCATGAAATCATGCGCTCAAAACTTTACCAGTACACTATAAATCTACCTAACAGTTCCCCAAAGGTTTTACACAATCTAGCGTATCAGACAAAGTTAAAATTTGGACCGTAAACTACATCTTAGCCGAAATAAATTAAAATCCTCCGGAATGATCTTTATACACAGTTCTATACGATACAACACTGCAGTACTAGCGGTGTGTGGCGTAATTTTGTTCACATTTTAACACATTTACTTACCAGCCAGTTAACGTTATCCGTCTGGACTTCATTGGTTCTGGCTCTCTTGTTTGCCATTGTACGTTTCTCGAGTTTATTTCACCAAGAGATTATAAGACAGTAAGTTTGTCTGGTAGAAGCGGAGTCTCACTTCACACGCCTTTTTTCTATCTCAGGTGTGATGAAATGTTAGTGATGCTGCACCATGGCAACGGGGAGGGCAGGGGAACGCACATCTTCTCATGTAGACTGACTAGTTTCGTGTAAAATAAAACCTGTAATTTTTCGTTACATTTTAGTATTCAGGGACGGTTCAGGTATATATCGTTTAGAATGATTGATATGCGTAGTTTACGTCTAATAATCGGAGGAAACTTCATCATTCCGTCGTTGCGTTCTCCTGCCGTTGCTGGTGATAGAACAAGTCGTGACCAGGCAGGAGCGCGGTAAAATTGTTCTGGAACATCACTGGTTGCTTTAGAAAGAGTTTGAAGTAACACCCAGGTTTATTTCGCGTTTCTATTCGAAGCTCCACGCCCTCAAGTCTAGCAACGGCCTACCGGGGAATAATTCGGAAGGAAAATATCTGTATGTGTATGGGATAAAAGTCCTTTCAGCCTCGTATATACAAGTGTACCTGGGTTTACTTTATTCAACCTCTTTGATTATCGTAAAATTAACATTATTTTCACTCCAAAATTAATGCACAAAATTTGAAATTTTCAAGTCGGATAATCCCATACAAAAATAATTTTCGGACAGAAATGACTAATTCTGACAAAAAGACAAAAACCTTGTCTGTACCCGAGTCGATTTTTAAATCGTCCATGAGCGAAATTCGGGCTTCCATCCGTGCGGACACACTAAGCATTACATGTCATGTGTAGAGACAATTTCTTTTTTTTTTTTCAATTTATTCAATCAAACAAAATCGTACAAAAGCAGGAAATGCTGATACACCCCTGAATTGTGTATTCGATTTTTACAATTGGTTCAAAGAAAACAAGACAAGTAAACAGAAACACACTATATACAAATATGTACAAACACCATTCAATCTACAACAGGAAATAGCAGACATGGTTTGTCACTATCAACCATCATCACTGTCATTGTAAAGTATTACAATGGGAGCAACATAGAAAACACCCATTTTATCTATAGTATGACCACACAATAGAAAAAACTATATGAATCTCAGTTGCTTTGAAAAGAGAGAAGACATTTCAAGACATAGATTAGATAGAATGTACTTTCTAGTAATTCCTTAGACTTTTATACTTTTAACTATGTTACTCAGTATCCAATTAAGTATATAATACATACGTCGATGAAGGTTATAAGGTACATCCAGGTAATAAGATACGACAAAACGCAGTTACCCAGTATCCATATACATGATGTAACATCATGCATGCATGAGCATGCAATAAAGATTCTTATAATGAGTGATGGGGTTATATTTGATTACTCCGTGAAGGAGGTATCCCTCCTGCAGAAGTATTGTAAGACTGAGCGATCACGCATTTCCAACTATTCCTGGTACACAGAAATCCTACGATCAGACATCTGAGGAATTCTAAGAAGGGATGTTCATATCTCATGATGTAAGCTGAACTTCGAAATGGTTTTGAGTGTTTTTTTTATGGTTTTATTTAGTATATAATACATACTTCGTAACACAGCATGCTAGAGTCTGTTGTCCATGTGCATTTTTCGATTAGTGCGATATACAAAAGCTACAGAATTAAAAAAAACAGACTTAAAGTGATGTTTTGAACAGGTTTAAACAATGTGGTACTGTTGTATTATATTGAAGCTAATAATGCTTCAAATCGCTCGATCATCTCTGATAAAAATAACAAAAATTAGTGTAAATATATTTCTATTACAAACTAAAGGAAGTAATTACTTCTTTATTACAATACATTTTTTTTTCAAACGTCACAACACCGCTATCTTCTCAACCTATCTTGACTAGAAAACGGCCCTGTCACAAGGACAGTACTTTTTTTAGATACATGCATGACACAATGAAAATCATTTGTGTTCGGGAATTAAAACTACGCATCCTCCATATAAAGGAACTGCTGAAGGAAATCTCAAATCAATCATCCGGCGGTATCTGGGCTACAGCATGGCGGTTATATACATCTCTCTCCATAATGTTCTCCAAAATGAGCACAAATGTAATACAGCTAGTACGTAAGACACACACTATACTATATACACTTTAGTTAAAATCATGTTGCTGGGTAAAATAAGAATTACACAAGAACATACCAGAATCAACACGAAAAGTTACCCACAACTATTGGAAATTGAAAAAAAACTTTCTTTTAAGAACTAAGACTCCTCTGTGCATCAACTGTCCCGAAGTTAAACGTCGGTTCCCTAGGTCTCAGGGAAGAACGCCTGTAAGAAAGATAGGCGTACTTGTAAGTGAAAAACTTAAAAACCAGCTTTACATTTAATATACTTTTTCGACCGTTTCAAACTTTTATTAACACTCTGTTCAAGCTTGTTCTAGTTGATTACACCATTCAGTATACAGATCATGCTGTAGGTTATATTGTTTAGTGATCTAGAAGAACATGTTAAGCGTTGATAAACAATTTTGCTTGTTTATTCATTCGCACAAATATATTAAAAAAAGAATTAAGTATATGAATAGAAACAGTTTGGAGGAGGAAGGTAAAGCCTGGAAATACTTATTCTAGACTCTTAATATCCTTTCAATTAATCGATAACAAAATATTCAACAAAATAATTGAAATAGTACTAGTGCATTCCCCCTGCACGTTTTACCCCAATCTAGGGGTGTTGTGCAGTACCCGAACAAGACAAGACAAGATTACAAATACATAGATATAAAGATAATTCTATTACAGATTAATTATCTATTACAGATGAATTAATATTGGCATTACAAAAATGACAGTCTACGCAATCAACACACTAAGCCACAGCAAGTAATTTTTATGGATGACATCAGCGCGCGCATTGATTTTCGCCTGACTTTGGGAAAAAAAACAAGAAATTTTGTTGCCCTTTGACAGTGGTCAACATGCCGAAAATGGGAAAAATGCAATCCTTGTCATGCTGGAACGTGTATGGCAGATAAACATGAAGAGAGGTGACAAGACAAGGCTCTGGTTTATTGTTATGACTTTTAGTTTTGACGTGTGATAGTTGGCAGTAAAGTTAGCACAATTTCTTGTTTAACAGGGTTTATGATGTCAAAATTTCAAAATATAGGAATCTTGTTATTTTGGGCCTGCCTTGTTTTTTTTTCCCTCTTGCATTAGTTTTGGGAGTCTGGAGGATGCCATCCATAAAATTTACTTACTGTGACCTCAGTACTTGCAGACCTTGTCCTGGTGAAGAAGTTGCTCCAACCTGTGTTCAATGACGTCAGGGGTGGGCCTGGCATCCGGGTCATCACACCAGCACAGATTCATAAGTTCATACCTACATGCGTACATGCAAAGAAAACAGATTCATCAATGATATTAAGGACTCATGGTACCCTTTCTTACCTTAAAGCTTTCTTTAGATAATAGGCCACAACGAGTAAATTTTATGGATGACATCCTCCACAGACTCCAAATCTAATGCGAGCGGGCGAAAAAAAACAAGGCGGGGCGAAAAAAACAGGGTTCCTACATTTTTAATTTTGACTTTAATTTTGATATAGTGGAAACATTAAATCAGAGTCTTTTCTTGTCTCCTCTCTTCATAGTTATCTGCCACCCACCTTCCGGCATGGCATCTTTGCCCATTTTCGGCAACAAAATTTCTTTTTTTTTTCAAAATCAGGCGAAAATTAATGTGCGCGCTGATGTCATCCATAAAAATTACTTGGTGAGGCCATAGATTCAATACCGAGAGTAGGTAATAATAATTAGCCGAATTTCAGCTTGCCCCTGGTAACAGCTCTATAACAATGCGTTAATGTCTACATTGCAAAAGGCATGTCATAATATGGTGATTGCACGTGATCATTTTGTTTCTCTTAATACGATCCTGTACTATTTCATTCAAATATTGCCACTTTACTTACATTTCCTCAGAGCAGCCGCTCGGCTTCTGCAGGCGGCGTCCTCTACGCAGCATCGTCACCAGAGTCTCGTAGCCACAGACCTCAGGATAAGGTGTTCCTCCTACAAATATCAAATATAGAACTTTACGTAAAGGTATCACTAGTGCCACATTCTATATCATCAGCTATCGTTCTATACAACGTTCATATGGATGATAGCATAAGATATACAGGTACTAATCAGGTAGTAGGTATTTTCTAAAAAATATGTTTAGAGGATTATGTTGTACATTTAGCTTCAATGATTGAGTCAAAAATCACTATATCTATGAGTCATTAATTAAAAGAAATGCCAATGAAAAATAATATGTAACTTGGGGTAATGACGAGCTTCTGGACCTCATACAGAGTTGTAAATGTTCTCACTGATTATACAAATAAAGATAATTTGCATGAATTATATCAAATGATCATATTCTACACCCAATGACAGTCTTGACTAAGAATGCCATTGTGGCATTTCGTGATAAATTAGTCAAATTAGGTCCTGATTTCAATACTTTTAATCTGAAATTGTTTATTGATGTTCACATAAACTTAACTTCATGCGTTGGTCTGGAATTCCTGGCAGTAATCATCATGTTATTATTGCGTTTCCTCATCAATAATGCAAAGTAGGTCCATCAACATAATCAATATCAGCCGATCGATGTTCCTCTCATTTTCAATTGCATGTTAGTTTCAATAGCAACATCATAGAATGCAGTAGAGTTTCCTAGTTGATTATGTAAATTACGATGTGATTTGGATATTTCTAGAAAAATAATGTTAAGGGCACATTGCAGTCAACTAATAAGACTAAAGTAAGTAAATAAGAGCTCATTAACCATCGGTGATTTTTTTTAACGACAAAGGTCCACCAAACTGTTGAACATCAGGAATGCAATTCTGATTGTTGAACTTGTTCACTCACCCAAAGTGGCTATCTCCCACATGACGACTCCAAACCCCCACATGTCACTCTTGCAGCTGTACACACCCTCAATCAAAGATTCTATTGCCATCCACTTGATTGGGAGCAGTATATTTGTCTGTAGGCAAATATGATAAGAAATAGAGAAGTAACATTTGCAAAGCAAATGCATAATGTTTACCTTCGGACATGGTCTGCTCTGTTAATTCTTACTCAAACATATTCACATACATGCACTACTAGTATATGGTGACAGGAGCAGAGCATACCATGAAATTGCAACATTATGTAACCCAACACCAGTCACCTTGGTGACAGAAGGTAGGAGGTCACTGTTTGGAGAAGAAGAAGAAGAAGAGGAAGAAATTGGGCAAAAATAATATGATTTCCTTCGGTAAACATAATGACACGCTCCTATATCAGGCATCGGGTAAAAAGGCGCATGTGGGTTGGTTTCAATACTGTGAAAAGTTTAAAAAAAGCTCAGCGTTTCTTCTTAGCCTCGGCCATATAGCCTGGACCATAGAACTTAAAGTCAACGGAAGAGAAGTACTTACCAGAGGATGCCTCATGTACTGTGTCGTCACATACACGTCACGGGCCAGTCCAAAGTCTGAGATTTTGGCGACCAGCCGTCCGTCCCGTCTGCCAGAAGAGCACAGGACGATGTTCCTGCACGCCAGGTCACGGTGGGTGATCTGTTTGTAGGAACACAAAAAATAAGTTAAAACGTTAACTAGAGAAGTAACATTTGCAAAGCAAATGCATAATGTTTACCTTGGGACATGGTCTGCCCTGTTAATTTTTACTCAAACACATTCACATACATATACTACAAGTATATGGTGGCAGGAGTAAAGCAGACCATCAAATTGCAACATTATGTAACCCAACACCAGTCAACATGGTGACAGACGTCAACAAATCATGTCATTGGCCAGGTCAGAGGTTAGTGTTTGGAACAGAAGAGAAGGAAGAAACTGAGTAAAAACAATATGTTTTCCTATAATAATCGAGGTCTCAGAACGGCTTTGTTGTTTCACAAGACGAAAACAAGTTTAAAATCGAGAAAGAAAACAAAGTGAAACGTTCTAGATAATACTATTCATTGTAAAAATGTGGTTATATGTACCTTTCGACGTTTCAGCTCCTGCATCCCCTGGGCGATGTCAATGGCCACCTCGGTGAGCTGTCGTCCTAACCCCGGCGGGACGTCCGCCTGGTAGCGGTTGTTTTGGATGTTAACCAAGTACCAGTGCAACTCTCCTGGCTCGGCATACTCAACAAGGATGTACCGAGGATCTGTAAAGAAAGTACGTACATATGCGCATTTAAAAAAAAAATCTTTTTAATACTCCATGGTCTTTGTCCTTATGTCAGATGATTGTACTGGTTTATGAAGACGATGATGAAACCTTACGTTAATATATATATCTATATATCTATATCTATATCTATATATATATTCACCACAAACAAAACACACTATTATATATATATATATCTATA